TATTAAACATTCTTCTTTATTTCTTATTTTAAGAATGCTTCTAATGTTTCACCATTAAGTGTGAAATGTATTATAGTTTTGGCATATAACTTTTTGTTCAGAAGTCCCCTTCTACTCCGTTTATGGCTTTGGTATTTCTTTGTCCTAAAATAGAACAGAATTTGTTGAAAAAAAAATTGGTAACCACTGAAATGATCATGCAATTTTTCACATCCTGTTGTGCTAAAGAAATGTTCTAGGGTTAAACTGTGCTTGTAATTCCTGGGAGAAATCCATTTTGGTTATGATGCATTCTTTCATGTTTGTTACAGTTTTTTGATATTTTTGATGTCTTTGATATTTTTACATCTATATTTATATATGAAATTGGTCTATAATTTTCATCTCTGCTCTTGTCCGGGTTGGATTTTGGTGTCAGGTTTACCAGCTTCAAAAAATAAGCTAAGTGGTGTTCCTTCCCTCTTTTTGAATTCCTTAGAAGAATATGAGTAAATCTAATTCTTTGGATATTTGGTAAAATTCCCCATGAAAGAAACTGACCCTCTCTCTTTCTCTCTCAATCTCTGTCTCTGTCTCCCTCTTTCCGTGTGTGTGTGTGTGTGTGTGTGTGTGTGTGTTGAAATAATATATAGAATCTGGCTTAATTTATTTAATGGCTGCAGGAATACTCACACCTTTTGGGATTTTTTCTTATAAAAATAAAATTTTTATTGAGATATATTCATATACTGTAGAATTCACCCTTTTAAAGTATACAATTTGGTGGGGGGTTAGTTTATTCATAGAGTTGTAAGGCCATCCTGACTAATATCCAAACACTTTCATCAGTAAAAAAAAAAAAGGCTATGTACCCTGTATCCACACATTGTCTATCTCCCCTCATCCCCAGGCCCTGTCAACCATTATTCTTACTCTCTGTTTCCATGGCTTTGCTTAATATGTACATTTCATGAAGTGGAATCTTACCATATGTGGCAGGCCTTTCAGTAGGCATAATGTGTTCAAAGTCCATTCATGTATCATGCACTAGTACTTCATTCCTTTATATTACCAAATAACATTCCATTGTTTACTCATTTTGTTTACCCATTTGTCCTATGATGGGCATTTGGATTGTTTTCATTTTTTGGCTATTAGGAATAAAGTTTCTATGTACATTCCTATACAGGTTTTTGTGTGGACATATGCTTTGAGTTCATTTGGCTGTGTACTTAGAAGTGTAATTGCTGAGTCATATGATAACTCATGTTAAACATTTTAAGGAACTACTGAATTGTTTTCCAAACTTGATGTACCATTTTACAATCCCACAAGAAATGTAGGAGGATTCCAGTTTTTCTACATCTTTGTCAACAGTCATTGACCTAGGAGGTTTGAAGTGATATTTCACTGTGCTTTTGATTTGCATTTCCCTAATGACTAATGATATTGAGCATCTCTTCATGTGTTCTTTGGCCATTTGTTATTATCTTTTGATGAAATATCTATTAAGTCCTTTTTTCCATTTTAAATTGAATTATTTGTCTCTTATTATTGAGTTGTAAAGGTTCTTTATATTTTTTATATCAAATATATCATTTTGTATTTTCTTCCATTTTGTGAATTATCCTTTCATTTTCTTGATGAAGAAAATTTCCTTTGAAGCACATTAGTTTTAAATTTTGTAAAATCTCTTTTGTCTATGTTTTCTTTTGTCACTTGTGCTAGACGATTGCCTAGTGCCTGGTCACAAATATTTGTTTCCTTCTAAGAGTTTTATAATTTTAGCTCTTACATTTAGGTTTTTGATACATTTTGAGTCAATACTTATATATGGTGTGGGGTAAAGTGTCAACTTCATTCTTCTACATGTGGGTATCTATTTGTCCTAGTACCATTTGTTGAAAATAAAATTGTATACTCCACTAAGTTGTCTTAATGCTTTTGTCAAAACAAATTGACCATAATCATAAAGGTTTATTTCTGGACTCTTAATTTTTAATAGGCCCTTCCTTAATCTCTATTCTATTCCATATGTCTATCATCCTTATGCCAATACTGTCTTGACTACTGTGGCTTTCTAATAAATTTTGAAACCTGGAAGTGTGAATTCTCTAACTTAATTATTCTTTTACAGCATTATTTTGACTATATTGGGTCCCTTGGATTTCCATATGGAATTTAGGATCAGCTTGTCAGCTTTGGGGGGAAAATATTGTCAGCTGAGATTTAATAGAAGTTACTTTGAATCTGTAGATGAATTTGGGGAATGCTGTCATCATAACAAAATCTTCTGGTTCATGAGCATTATATTTCTTTTCATGTACTTAGATCCTATTCTTTAATTTCAACAATTGTTTGATAGTTTACAGTATACAAGTCTTGCACATAGTTTCTTAAATTCAATCCTAAGGGGATCCCTGGGTGGTGCAGCAGTTTGGCGCCTGCCTTTGGCCCAGGGCGCGATCCTGGAGACCCGGGATCGAGTCCCACGTCGGGCTCCCGGTGCATGGAGCCTGCTTCTCCCTCTGCCTGTGTCTCTGCCTCTCTCTCTCTCTCTCCGTGTGTGTGTGACTATCATAAATTAAAAAAAAAAAAATTAAAAAAAAATTAAAAAAAAATTCAATCCTAAGAACTTTATCCATTTTTTTAAAAAAGGTTATTTATTTATTTGGGGGCAGGCAGAGGGAGAGAATCTCAAGCAGAATCCCCATTAAGTGCAGAACCCAATGTGGGGCTCAGTCTACCACCCATTAGATCATGAACTGAGCTGAAATCACGAGTCAGACACTCAAGTGACTGAGCTACCCAGGTGCCCCAGAATTTTATTCTTTTTAATAATGTTGTAAGTGAAATTGTTTTCTTCATTTCATTTTTGGATTGTTCATTGCTAGATGTATAGGAATACAATTGACTTTTATAAGTTGATCTTGTATTTTACAAACCAATTGAACTTGTTATTAGTTCTGATAACTTTTTATGGATTCATTAGGATTCTATATGAACAAGATGATATCATCTGTGATTAGAGATTACTTCTTTTCAATGTGAGCACCTTTTATTTCTGAACAAATTGATTTTTTTTCTTGAACAGTTTTAGCCAACTACATTTTTCTAGATGATTGCCTTTCATTTCAAAGTTTAAATTTATTAGCATAAAATTGTTCATGGTAGTCTGCTATGTAAATCCATGCTCTATTTGTAGTAACAATGGTTCTTTGTTTCATTCCTGATGGTGTTTATGATGACTTCTGCTTTTTTTCTTTTTTTTACATTCTTTTACATGTGAGGTGTATTTTTTTAAATTCTTTTAAAACTTTATGAAATACAGAGTACATGTGGAAAAGCATACAAACAACAAGTACACAGGTAGAATTTCAAACTGAATACAATGGTAAAGTCAGAACCCATAGTTAGAGACAGAATACTATCAGTACCTCACATATTCCCAACATTCTTTCATTCAGTCACTCCCTGGCACCAACAGTATAATCCACCTTGATTTCTAAATGCATACATTAGTTAAAATTATGTTTCTACTTAATATAAATAACACACTACATACTTATTTGTGTTTAGCATCTTTCAGTTGACATTATCTTGTGATATTCATCCATTTTGTTGTGTGTGGTTGTAGTCCATTTATTCTCACTACTAAATGCTCTTCCATTGTGTTACTTTACCACAATATATAAGCTTCCTATTCCTAACAGGCATTTGGTACTTTCCAGTTATGGACTATTATGATTGGATAAACATATATACACATTTCTTCCCTCACCTGAAGGTAACTATTATCCTGAATGTATAATCTATACTGTTTGTTGCTTCCTTTTTTAATATACCATTTTATTGCATGTATATGTATATGCCTTAAGATGCACATTTAATTTTGATTTTTTTTGAAAGGGGATTGTGTTGTGTATAGTTTTAAGAGCTTATTTTTCCACTTAATAATAAATTTGTTAATATTCCTCCATATTTTGCACATCAGTGTATTTCTTTCATTTTGATTTTTGTGTAGTATTCATCCACTCTTTGATGGGCATATAGGTTGTTTCCTGGTGTTTGCTATTTGAAAGTACTACTGTCTCTATTATACATACCTTTTTTTTTTTTTTCACATCTGCAAAAGACCAGGTTACTGGGTCCTAGGGTATGTGAAAGTTCAATATTAGAAGATAACTACAAAGTGCTTTCTCAATTGGCTGCACCAGTTTGTATTCAAATCAGATCCTGTGGATTAACAGTCCCCAGCATTTGCTATTGTCAGACTTTTTACATTTTGTCAATATTTCTTTGTGGTCTTTATTTGTATTTCTCTAATTGCTAGTGAACATTGAACATCTTCTCTTATGCTTATTAACTGTATGTATTTTCTCATTTGGGAAACCAATATATTTATATCTCTCAAGCATATTTCTGTTGAGTTCACTGTGTTTTTATCATCTAATTTTAGGAAAGAATTTGTGTTCTTTGTATCAGTGTTCTCTAGTTGTGTGTGTTTCAAAACATCTATTCCTGGTTTTCAATTTGTGTTCTTATATTTTTGAGAGTGTCTTTTGATTAGCAGCAGTTTTTCATTTTAATATAGCCAAACTTCTTAATCATTCATAATTAATAATCTTTTATAGTTAATGTTTTCATATATTGGTTAAGAAAATTTTTTTACTCCAAAGACTAAGGTATTCACCTATAGTTTCTATTTAGGGTTTAGAAAATTTTAATACTTAATTCCTTCCACAGTTATTTTTATATTATATGGTAGAGATTCAATTTCATTGTTTTCCATAGGAATTTTTTTTCCAGCCCATTCCTTTACTTTTCTTTCCAGTGATATGATATGCCAACTCCATCATACACATTTCCATATATGTTTGGATCTGCCTCTGGCCTCTTTTATTTCATCAGTCACTCATCTGTTCTTATACTCATAGATATTGGCTTATATTTTAAAAGAATTACTCTGGTTATTTTGTAACTTTCAAGAGATTTGATTATTATTATTTCTGCAATTTTAGGTATATTACAGCTAATACTGACACAGAAGAACAGAGTTTTCCAGTCTCTAAGGCATTTAATACACACATAGAGGAATTAAATTTAGATGTCCTTCTTCAAAAGGCTGATAATTTACGTATGAATGAATGTGGCAAGATGGAGAGTTTTGAACTACTTTGTGATCACAAAGAAAAGGTAAGAGATATGAGACAATAATGTTTATATAGTTTTAATTTTTAATCTGCTATCCCATTCATGTTATGACTGTTAACAACTGTGTTACAGTTTACACAAGCTAAATAGTTGATGCAAAATATTTCTATAATCTGACTGAAATCTTTAAAAAGTAAGTTATAGGAATTTATTAGGCCCTAAGATCATGAAAATGAGAACCAGATGTATGATTATACACATCTATCTTTATTTGATTCTTATTAATTTGCCATATTTAATACATAGTTTATAGCATAAAGAGTAAGACCTACTGCTTCTGTTGGGACAGGAAAAGCTACATATTAAATTTTCTGCCTTAAAAAAAAACAAAAAAAAATAAATTTTCTGCCTTATAGTTATAGTGTAACTAATAAGCCATCAGTATTTCAGTGTATTTCTACTAATGATCATTTTTTAGCATTTAACGTTGGGCTGAATTGGGAAAGCCCATCCCTCCCACTACTACCACCAAAAAGAAAGAGAGTGAGAGAGAGAGAATGAGGGAAGGAAGGAAGGAAGGAAAGAAGGAAGGAGGTTCTCAGTATCCCACTGAGCAATGAATCTTTCCTTCCTATGAGCAATTTAAGTCTTAAACCCTTTGCGTGAGGATTTAGCAACTCTAAATACAAAGATTATGATTATAGGTAATTTAGGTTAGAAATGTGACTGCTCTTTTGACTATATGTGATCTATAATGCTCACTGGGGCATTATATTGAAGGTAGTAATTTAGAAAGGAAAATAAGAAGAGACTACAACCCAGGAAAAACTTAAAGATTCTGGCACCTATCAATTCTCTTCCATGTTGTAGAGGTAGTATCTGGATAACATTCATTAGTTTTAAGATCCAAATGTAACTCTATATTAAATCATATTTTGTAGTCATGAATATTTGAATTTAAAATGTTATATGCACATGAGTAGATTCAGTCATCTATAAATTCCAGTTCACCAGCCTAAATTTTTTAGAAGTTGTACTGTAAAACATTCATATAGCCTGGCCAAGTTACTGAGTTAATCTAATATACAGTTCTATCTTTTCTTTTCAGTTTAGAGATGAAATAGAGTTTACTTGGCGATTAACTCGTGCTTATGGAGACATGTATGAGCTATCTACTAATGCACAAGAAAAGAAACATTTTGCCAATATTGGTAAGTATTTTGTAAAGATTGATTATCCTCAAATGACAATCATTATCTATAATAACCTATTAATGAATTTTAATTAAATTTAAATTATCTTAGCTAAAACCAATATGTTTTATCTATTTTAATATATCCTAGTACTGAAAAATATACAAAGCCTAAGGACAGAAAGGTTTTTTTAGGACTAAGATATATATATATATATATATTCTTTTTTAAAAAAAAAATATTCTATTTATTTGAGAGGAAGAGACAGACAGAGAGAGCACACAGAGACAGAGGGAGAGGAAGCAGACTCCCCACTAAGCAGGGAGCCCAAGCAGGGCTTGATCCCAGGACGCTGGGACCATGACCTGAGCCAAAGGCAGATGCTTACTTAAACAACTGAGCCACTCAGGCACCCCAGAAGTATACATTCTTTAAAAATGTTTGAGCATATTAGAATAGGCAACTGAAAAACTCAAATTTCAGATATTAAAGTTTATAAAATCACAGAAAGGCAAAACATTTAAGAGATAATATATGAGGAGCAATAAGAGGCAGAGGATAGCTGTCTTCAGCAGAATTAAAATAACCCTCCTTGGGATGCCTGGGTGGTTCAGCGGTTGAGGGATGCCTGGGTGGCTCAGTGGTTGAACAGCTGCCTTCGGCCCAGGGCATGATCCCGGAGTCCTGGGATCGAGTCCCACATTAGGCTCCCTGCATGGAGCCTGTTTCTCCCTCTGCCTGTGTCTCTGCTTCTCTCTCTCTGTCGCTCATGAATAATAAAATATTTAAAAAAAAATAAAAATAACCCTCCTTGATTCCATAAGGTAGAACTTTATTTGCTGCAGAGAAATAACTACTCAGACTTCAGTGCTTTTTTTTTTTAATTTATCTTGATAAAACAAAATTAGCCTTGAGTTGATCATCAGTTAAACTAAAGGATACAGTACATGGCATTTCATTATACTGTCTTTTATACTTTTTTGTGTATTTTTGAAATTCTCCATAGTAACAACAAAAGAAAAACATCCAGAACGTTAAATCTCTTACGCATATATATCTCACCTTGACTCTCACCTAATATCAAAACTCTTTCTTGCAAAAATCCCCTTAGCTGCCATTTCTCTGAGTTTTAGCAGAGTAATCTGACATCAAAACTTATTTAATTCTTCTTTTATTCCAAACTTCCCCTTTTCCAAGCTTACTTTCTCTAAGGTAGCACAAGGAAGAAACAGCAAAACATGATGATACTACAGACTTCATTCCAATCTCATTCCCTGTCATTTTTATTTCCAAGAAGGAAGGTAGTATCTTCAAACTCCTTGTAATTATATTCCTTCTACTTGTAGATTTTCTTTTTTTGCACAAAGAGAAAAAACTGGCTTATGTTCGTATCTACTGAGAAAATCACAGTATCAGTATTAAGTTCTTTTTATTTCCCATAAGCACCTCTCCTACCCCAGGCATCAGGGCTCCTCCTGTGTGTGATAGGAGGTAGAAATGATAGCAAAATCACATGTTCTCAGACTCTGGATGAACTGATAGCTCTGTGAGGGGAGCAGTATTATAGAAGTAACCATACACTTAAAGAAGCAGATGGAAACCCACCATGAGTAAAAGAGAATGCAGGATGCTAAGAGTAATAACAGAAAGAATGTGATGGCAGGGGCCAGGAGTCTTTCCTGGGGAAGTAAGAGTTTCACATAGGTGATATTACTTGGGATCTCTATTTTTAAATGGAATAGAAGTTTAATTGAGTTAATGTATGAGGTGATAAAATTGAAAAAAGAAATGAGCTGGAAGGAATCAAGGGACAAAATGGAGCATAGATTGGAATATGATATATTTTGAAGAGAGAAACATTTAAAATATCAAGAAAAAAGAGTGAAAGCCTCAAATGCATTTGTTCAGATATTGAAATATATTAAAAATATTTTTTGTACATTTAAGAAATATTTATGTGAAATTAGTGTGTCCAGGAACAATGTTAAAATGAGGAAGTGGAGGGAAAGAGAAGGGAGAGAGGAGGGAGGTGAATGTGATTAAGAGGATGCTATGCTAAGGAACTTACTAGATAGATCTTCATGGAGACAGCCCATCATACTTAAGGGTTCAGGTCGTAAGTTCTTGGGAAAAGTGATGACAGAGTGCACTGAGCTGAGACCAGTGTTAGAGGACACTGGAACTCGGCGTGAGGGAGGACGAAGTGCTAAATGTTATTCCCCATAATAGCATATTTAAAATTGTTATACTAAGGGCAGATGTGATCACTGGGGAGCGCAGAATTCTTTCAGAGTCCTCAAGCTGGGGTGTAGCTGGGGTGCAGTGCATCTTTTGAAGTACTCTGATCATGATTTGTATTCCAAATAAAATATGAATATTATATCTAAAGGAATATTATTATAATTTCCAGAATTAAATAATCAATACAAGTGCCTCAAATAGATCACAAAGTATAATTTTGTACAGAAAACAGCTTTCCTTTCAGACTTCAGCTGCAAAAATGAGACTGCCAAACCAGTCTATATACTACCCAGCTTCCTTTTACATTCTCAGGGTAGTGGACTCTCCTCTATGTTAGGCTTGTGGTAGTGCACTAAAAGCTATTTTTGTTCCTTTGGCAAAGCAGCTAAAATGTTGGTTATGTTTTTAATATGTATCTATTTTTTTGTTTTTAATATTTAAATGTACATTTTAAACTGTTTTTCAGTCATTTACTTAAAAGATACCCTTTTAATATAGGTCTACAATGTAATATCAGTATGAAAACACTTCACTTTTTAATTTTTTCCAGTTCAGATAGATTTCTACACAGAATGGTTCTCTTAATGGATAGAGCTATAAAATACAGAGTGTACCACCTTAACAAATTAACAAATAATATAGTTTAGAATAAAAGATCTTTATTTATAAAGATTGTCTCAACCACTTATTTAGAAGAACATTTTTACAGATCAATGGATGTTCTCTTCAAGGCAACAACAAAAAAATGGAACAAGGTAAAAGGAGATAGCATAAAACAAAGCAGCCCCTTTTTGAGAAGGATTTTCAGAATGTTCAGTTTTGTTGCAAGAATTTTGACTTTTCAGGAAAATAGACAAACCTCTATCCAAAGTAATTATGACATTATGAAAGTTATCCTAAAACTAAGTGAAATGATTTGGGAAGATTATTTATGTACAGAACCTGTTCATTATTAATAGTGCATGATTAGGTAAGCACTTCTCTGGGAAGCCTTCCCTTTAGATGGAGTTAGTCACTCTCTTCTCTGCCATGCTTTCTCTTTTTTCATCTTGCTTTTAGTTTTTGCATGTGTTTTATTTGCTTATATACCTACTTTCTACTAAAACGTGAACCTTGGAAGTCAAAAACTGTGTCTTAATTTGACTTTTTATTCCTAGAGGTTATATGGCACGTACAAAGCATGTGGTAGATGTTGGTTGGGTTAATTACAAAACAATCTCTTAAATTAATACTTTTAAATAATGACTGAATGACTTTTCTTGCACTTGGTTACATCACTTAGTCCAGTGAGCTTAAAACTTGAGCATACAGCAGAATCTCTAGAGGCTAGTTAAAACAGATTGCTGAGACCAAACCTTGTTATGGAATGAGTCTCCCTTGGAGCCCAAAATCTGCTTTTCTAACAAGTTCCCAGATGATGCTTCTGGTCTTAGGACCATATTTTGGGAACCACTGACTTAATTCAATAATCCACCTCCTCCCCACCAACTCACATGAAAGTACTAAACATAAGTACATTTGTCTTCTTAGGAAAGACATTAGGAGAAAGAGCTATTACTAGAGCACCCACGAATGGACATTGTCACTTGTGGTAAGTACAAAGAACTTATCCAGTCTTTTAAATTCTCATAGGCCTCAACCTAAGTTACAATTGATTTTTAAGATATTATTGACCCATTTAACCTGTCTGTCATGTTCACTGAAAAGTATATTTAATAGATAGCACAGTAACTATTCTTATTCTCATGTGTTTTGCAGTATGCATATTCTAAATATATCCAAAGTAAACTTTCATTGAAGATTTCATAAGTGAATCTAGCAAGCGCAGTGCCTTTGAACATGTTAAATTCTAATTAAATATAATTTAACATCTTGTTTGAAAACAAATACTGAAGTGATGTCCTGTTTCTAAATGAAATATAGGAAGAATGCTTCAAAGAATAAAAGCACGTCACTCATTTCTTATACCTTAATGAGTCCATGTGTACAAATTCTATAGGTCAAAGAGAAGCCATTTTTTTTGAGAAGCCATTTTTAATATAAGAAATATAATGGTATATAAGAAAGCTCAAACACAGGGAATTCATTTGGTAGGTGAGGATCCTTGGGGAAACAAATTTATTCTTGAATATGTTTTGTTTTGGATCCTTTTTGTGTTTAGAATTATAAAACACAAATAAAAAGAAAGATATCATTTTAAATTAACATCCTGTGGTTGCGTTTTTACAACATCTTTTAGTTCCTTACAGCAATACAGGTACGTTAGGTGCTAGGAAGATAATGATAAGTTAATTTATGACCCTTCTCTCAGACCTAGGTTTCTGGAAATCCACCCCTTCTCAGGATTCTTGTTATTCTTCTGGAGCACTTTTAGGCACAGTCTCTCTCAGAATGGCTCCCATACTGCTGGTCCACATTTGCCCCACAGGAAATTCATTTTCATTCCACCAGCTGACTCTGAAATGCAAACCAATTTTCCCAAAGCAGACCAGTTTCTTTACTGTACCACCAGCAGGGGGAGCTCCACTCACACTCTTATCTGAAAGCTTTTCTGCTTAGGAGTCAAGTAACCTATTTTCTGTCCCCTAATGGACACAAGCCAAAATAAAACCAGATCTTTTGATCTGCCCTCGTTTTGGCTTAAGATGAGGCGCAAGCCTTCCTTCTGCCCCTCCCCTGAGAAGGTGGGAGGTGGAATCCACAGTCCCCTAACAATTTTATCTACAGGAATCCTTCTTTACCTTCTTCTTCTATAGCCTGGAGAAGGGTAAAGGGCTAAGCCTGGCAAGACCTGTGGATCATTTCCTTAGCATATCATACAAGAGCATGCAAGAGCATCTTGCTTTAGGAATTGAAGCACCTAATAGAGTATTCTTCTATGCCCTTGGGGCTTCTACCACAACTTTAGGAGAAAGGTAAATTTGTAGTTAACATCCTAGTACATATCTTTAAGATCATTTTCCCAGTATGCAACAGTCTTGGCTGTTATTTCTACAGCCAAATATACCTTCTCATCTACTTTGCACATTAGTATTAATAAATTAATATATGTATGCATTCAGGTACTTCTGTTGTTCTACTTTTAGTTGTAACTGCAATGAATTTGTACTGATCAAACCACACACTCCTCATCTCCTTTGATATTGGAGGTGTTTGGGAGCTGGTTGGTCAGATTTACATGCAGAAAGAATTCCCAATCCCTACTTTTAACTCTGAGCTGCTCCTCCTCACCCTCCCGCTGCATTGCTCTTCCTCTGTTGCTCTCTTCCTTCTCCCATACATACATCTGCATCCATGAAGAATCACATTTAAAATGTACAATTGATTTTAAGCCTCAATCTGGGGGCATTTATCTGTGTAAACTTGAAATTTTCATAGAGGAACAATGTTAAGTCTTCTTTGGAGGCTTCACAAGTACCTTAAAATCCATTTTTTAAGAAGAAAGTATATGTAACTCTGCCCTGGTAGGTAACCGAGTTGGCCTGCACTAATCTGACTACTTTTCTTTTGTTCATCTTCTTTCACTTTTTGTTGTGAATGGATTTGCCTTGTTTATAACTATGTTATTTAACTCCAAGTTTAAATCTTATGGACACCCACACAACCCCACTCACACCCACACATACACACACAGAGTAATGATCAGTTGTGTTACACATGATTTCTTATTCAGTATCAGTTTTTAATTTAAAGAATATTAAAATTAATCAGTTGATAAAATTTAATAAATCCAAATGGCAATTTTATCTTTGTTCTTAGAATGTATTATATGTAATAAATACAAGAGTTCTCATTCATTTAAATAGTAGAGGTTTCGCATAATGAAAAAAGAGAAATTAAAACTGACTTGAGGAGCCATGGTTAAAATTTAGGTTAACTGATTCCATAATTAATTGTAAGAAAATATCATCAAAAAGTCTTTTTCAGTATTTAAGACATTTTCTCATTCATTCAGCATAAATGACAATCTATGGCCCTGGGCCAACTGCCTATTTTCATAAATAGTTTTATTGGTGCACAGCCACTCCCATGGATTTGTGCCTAGCAATGATGTTGAATAGTTGCAACCTTGACTATCTGACCTCAAAGCTGAAAATGTTTGCTACAAATTCTGTTGTTTTTGTTATACTCAGCCTCAAATACTTCCAGAATCAAAAGAGTAAAGTCACTGTGGATTTGCAGTTTTTCAGCTGAATAGGCCTGACCTTAATTACAAATAATGTCTTACATATTTGTTGAGCTCTACTGTTCACAAATTATATCCATATGCCTTGCAGCACATGATTCACAGAACAACCTGTTTCCATTTTATAGATAAGGATGAGCAAGGTAGTATGCCTAGGGTGTGTGTGGTGAGGGTGGGGGAGTCATGCTGAATAGTAAGCAAGAGTCACACAATAAATAGAAAAACAAAAACCAGGTTTTTTATTCTTAGATACTCAGTAATTCTTCTATTACATTATTTTTCTACTGCTTTCTCATAGTATAAAATAATAAACTAATGGAGTTATTTTGATAGTTGTGGAAACAGAAGTGTTGGTCATTTATTAAAGATATATTCAATATCAATGCAAAGAAAACACAGAGATTTTGTCAAAGCATGTATGATGAGAATGACCTCTAGATGGAGTTAATAGACCATATTGTGAAATAACATACTTTAGCGTTCCCATCCACTTGCGATGGTTTATGAAATAAAATTTTAAATTACGTTTTAAAAGATGAACAGCATAAAAGAACACACACACATGCACACACACACAGAGAGAGACATAAGTGGAACTAATTGCCAGAAAAGAAGTGATGATCCTTTGAGAAAAACTGATTAGGTGAACTTTGAACTAGGGTATGTGGGAAGATAAATAATATTTTAAACTTTATTATTATTATTTTTTTATATTTTAAACTTTAAAGAAACAGACTTCAAGTGGTGCCTGGGTGGCTCAGTTAAACATCCAACTCTTGATCTTAGCTCAAAAAACATAAAAATAAAAAACAGACTTCAAAAAAAATATGAAAAGCATAAAACTGTATGATATTATTTACAAGGAAAATGTACATATTTCATATAATGGAATTCATAAGTCATAGGGTTTTTTTTCCTTTTTTTTCCTCACTCAGAATAGCTTGAAGAGAGTGTGCTGAGAGAGCACTGTATATACCTAGTGGTGTGCACTAAGTCGTTCTGATGCTAATGTTTGGGAAATAGATGATTGATCCCACCATTCTAGATTGGCAAACATAGATTCCTTTCTTTTGATTCCAGCACAAATATTTGGGTTGCTCCATAAGTCTCTGGAGGAGGAAGTTCAAAAAGATCCAACAAATTTTTCTAAAAATGTGGCGTGATTTGTTTTTTATTTCTTTGTCAGCATATAGAATAGGGCAAGTGAGCTAGTATATCTGGATTTAAACAAGGCATTAAGGTAAGTTTATGTGTAACATTCCTGTGGACAAGATGTAGAAATGTGGGCAAGTCTCTGGGTTACCTGTATAGAGAGGAGGGTTCAAGCCTCAGCTATTCAACAGAGTAACTGTTGGCAACATTTTTGTCAATCTGGAGGTGATTCTAGGGCTCCAGGTCTTCATTATAGACACTGGTATGTTGTGTAAAATTGTCAGTTGGTAAAGATATAACACGTATGTTTATGAAAGTTGCAAGTAACATAAAATTAGGAGGAACAGAGTGTATGATAAATGACAATAGTAATTCCAAATATCTTCACATACGGATAATACGGATAAATGTGGAAGGAGGGATAGAGAGAAAAGCATCAAAATTTAAGTTAGGGAAAAATAGATGAAAATTTGAATGAAGCATGGAGTTTAGTTAATAATATATTAATATTGGTACATTGTAAAAATTAGGTATCAGTATTGTTTGATAGTATCAGTACACTTGTGATAAATGTACTCTAGTAATGTAAGATGAGAACAGTAGAGAAAACTGAATATGCATATATAGGAACCATCTGTGCCATCTTTGCAACTATTCTATAAATCTCAAGCTATTTTAAAATAAAAGCTTATTAAAAAAAAAAAGATGACCTAAGGCTTTAAGTCTGAATAAGTTGGAAAATGATAATGCCCATAACAGAAATGGGGGAATGTGGGGATGTAGTTGTATGGAATTTTGTTCTATTTTCTGGAACTCCCTAGGAGGAATGATAGAACAAAATGAGAGAGAGAACGTCAAGAGAACATGGTGATCATAGCATTTCTACAAGGGAATTCACAAGTGTTTTTCCAGTAATCCTTTCCTACATGCTCAATCTCTGATGGGTGTAGAGATGTGTGTGTAAAGTAGTCTGATCATAGAATTTGTGATATCTCCTACTCTAGTTATGTTCTCAGACCACTTTTGATAGGTTGATTTGGTCTTCACTCTTGTTTCTACTGTAGCAGATTTGGTTGATTATATAGAAACTGAAAATTCAGAGGTCACACAAGTCAGCACTGAAAAGTGACTGTTTTATTGGTTGTCCTAAGTTGTGTGAATTATGTGATCTTTTGTGTTCAGGAATGGTCTTACTGTCCTAAATAAAATTGTTCACTTCATTTTTGTTCTTGAAAGTTATGCTTATCCACAGAAATGATGAGATAAATACCCAAAATTACATCTTCCATTTCAGCTATGACAATGAAAGTAATAATTAATACTTACTCTTGAAATACTTAGGTAAATGAATATTTTTCCTCAGACAGAAACACTCTGAAATACTCTGGAGACTTGGCACAGACAGAAACATTCTGGATATAAAAATAACATATCCCCCGATTTTGGAGTGAGCAAATTGCTGAACAAATATTGTACAGAATGTATGTCAAAGAATTATTAATGTAACTTTTTGTATTCTCAGTGGAAAAAAAAAGTAAACAGTTCATGGGATGCCCTGTTCTAGTATGCAGTGCTAACAAGGCAGGATTAAAGGAATTGAAGGGAATTTTTCAGAAAAATGTGTTCTGAAGTCACCTTTGACTTTGTTTTAGTCATGATATTTATTTTTGTTTTCAAATGACGTTAAGGGAGGCTGTGAAATTTTTTTTTATTAAGGAGGAATAGGGATATGATGATGCAATATATTTTTCAATTTATTACTTGTGTGACTAGGCTTTTTCAGAGAGCCTCTTTGTGACTTTGATGTCAATATTGGTGTTAGCGGCAGCTCATATTTCTTGGAATTCACTCTGTGCCAGGTAGTCCTCTAAGCAATTTTGTGTGTTTGAAGTGTTTTGCCCTCACAGCATACACGTGAGATGGATGGTGTCAGTATCCCCAGTTACAGATGAGGAAACTGGCCTCATGTAGTGTCAAGTATTTTTTTATTTTTAGGACCCTTGCCTCTATATGAATACTTCTGTCAAGTGTTAATGAATGGTTTAGAGATATTTTTTTAAATGTTATATTTGGTGGTATTTGATTAAAAGTTCACACACTATCCACTGTCTTTATCCTTTTCAGGTATGCAGTTTTGTGTGGCTATGTATCTGAGTTTGAGGGCTTACAAAACAAAATCAACTATGGACATCGCTTCAAGGTATTTCTTAAAATTAAAAATATTTTAATATAGCTGTATGTTCCCCTTAAATATATAAATCAAGTTATTCAACAATTTAATCTCAAGGAATTTATCTTTTTTATTTAAATGAAGTGACAGTCTTTACATAGTACTGTGCAAAAAGAATAAAACTATTTGGGAGATTGAAGATAATTATTCTGGATCGTGAAAGAAGTCACATAGTAGATGAGTATTACTTTTTCAAAGATGGGGGATTAGTCTTTTGGTCATGAGCTCACCAACATCATAAACATGACTAGGACTAATTAGTTAACATTTCTTGCATATTGATTTGGTGGAAGGAATAGAATCCAATCTAAGGCTTAAACTTAACATGATAAGTGAATAAAATAAGTAATGTATGTGTACATCATTTATAATGTGCCGTTAGCTTTGATAACTCAATATAAATGGTCAGAATCTGTTTTCCAGCTCTCTAAAACCATTTAATAATGTCAGGGGAGTAGATTCCTCCACCACCTAGTTCTGCTATTCTTTCCTCCATTATATCCTAATCATTTGATATTTGCAAGCATGCTTCCTAATAGTAAGTATTAGCTAGGCAAGGCATGGGCAGACAAAAATGTCAGCCAGATATTTTCTATTTTCATAGTCACATTTGGCTTTAAATTATCCATAGCTTAATTAAATCATAGTCAAAGTCTGGTTCTACTTGTGAGCAATCATTTTTGATAATTGAATTATTGGTAAGACTTACTTGTATTAATGATAGGGATTGAGGAGGAGGACCAAACAACATGTAAAGCCCCTTGAACTTACTAGGTACACTTCCATTCAACACTGCTTGAAATCTGAGAGATGATACTTATTTTGAATTTTCTTTCAGGAACATCTAGATAAAGCAATCCAATTTTTACCTGAAGAACCCTTTTTGTATTACCTCAAAGGAAGATACTGTTATACTGTGAGTTGAATATTTTTATCTATAAGTCTTATTTAAATACACTATGATTACGTGATATATTTTCAGTGCCTTATTCTTTAAGTGTTTTACTTAGTGCCTACTATAAGGAAAATGGTAAAATCCATACATATTTTATGAGTTTATGATTGATTTCTTTCTGTACTGTGTTACTGTGTTTTCTGTACTGTGTTACATACAGTATATAATTTTTTCCCTTTACCATCTCTCTATTTCCCCTTGCAGCAATCACTTGTCTCCTTCGTGCTCTCAGGTGGTGACCAATCATCTACATGCATGTGTCCTATATTGGCACATTACTATTTGTTTTATGAGAGGACTTTTTCATTTATCAGAGTATACTGAGCATAAATTACATGCCCACTGTTCTTGTCTTCAAAGAACTGAATTTAGAAAGGCACATGAAATCTATAGAAATAAATCAAGGCAGCTGGCGAGTGTAAAATCCGGTGTCTTAAATGATGTTAGTTTATAGAAAATTAACAGAATGTGAAAATCTATCTTAAGAGATGCATGAAAAAATTATGCTGAAGAGAAATGCTATTTCTGAATGCGAAAATTAGCATAAGCAAAAGAGGAAGTTTTTAATTGAGGTTTGAGGATTAGGAATGGAGAAGGAAGCTTTTTTACTAAACACCTGCTATGTAACAAATGTGCAGTTTATACTTTTTATTTCTTATGTCCTTTAACCCTTGAAACAGCTCTGTAAGCAATTTTTATTATGCCAGTTTTAAATATTAAGAATATGAATCTTCATTAAGGTAGGAGACCCCTCAGGCTTAAAAACGATTGACCCAACATCACAGGAGTCTGGGGCTTGGATGTGCATTATTTGTTTAGATTTCTTTCCTAAAAAAAGAAATCTGGAAAGACCACAACTACATGGAGGTTAAATAACATGCTACTAAACAATGAATGGATCAACCAAGAAATCAAAGAAGAAATAAAAAAAATACACAGAAACAAGTGAAAATGAAAACACAATGATCCAAAATCTTTGAGATGCAGCAAAAGTGATTCTAAGCGGGAAGTATATAGCAACTGAGGCCTACCTCAAGGAGCAAGAAAAATCTCAAACAACTTAATATTACACCTAAAGAACTAGAAAAAGAAGAACAAACAAAACCCACATCCAGGAGAAGGAAAGAAATAATAGAGATTAGAGCAGAAATAAATGATATAGAAACTAAAAAAAAGAAAAAAATAGAACAGATCAGTGAAACCAGAAATGGTTCTTTGAACAGATCAATAAAATTGATAAACCTCAAACTCATCAAAAAAAAAAAAGAGGACTCAAATAAACAAAATCAGAAACAAAAGAGGAGAAATAACAACTGACACCACAGAAATACAAAGGATTATAAGAGAATATTATGAAAAAGTATATGCCAACAAACTGGACAATTTAGAAGAGATGGATAAATGCCTAGAAACATATAAACTACCCAAATACCCAAACTGAAGCAAGAAAAAATAGAAAATTTTGACAGACCAATTACCAGCAATGAAATTGAATCAGTAATCCAGAAACTTCTAACAAAAAAAAGTTTAGATGTATTCACAGGTGAATTCCACCATATATTTTTTAAAAGATTTTATTTATTTATTCATGAGATACACAGAGAAAGGGAGAGAGAGGCAGAGACACAGGCAGAGGGAGAAGCAGGCTCCATGGAGGGAGCCCAATGCGGAACTCGATCCCAGGACTCCAGGACCATGCCCTGGGCCGAAGGCAGGCACCAAACTGCTGAGCCACCCAGGGATCCCCTCCACCATATATTTAAAGAAGAGTTAACACCTATTCTTCTCAAACTTTTCCAAAAAGTAAAATAGGAAGGAAAACTTCCAAATTCATTCTAATAGGTCAGCATTATCCTGATTCCAAAACCAGTTATAGACAATAAAAAAGAGCTACAGACTAGTATCTCTGATAAACATAGATGCAAAAATCCTTGACAAAATATTAGCAAAACAAATCCAACAATACATTCAAAAAATCTTTGACCATGATCAATGGGATTTATTCCTGGAATGCAAGGTTGGTTCAGTATTTGCAGATCAAGCAGTGTGGTACATCCTGTTATTAAGAGAAAAGATAAAAACCATATGATCAACTCAACAGATCCAGTAAAAGAATTTGACAGAGTACATATCCATTCTTTTTTTTATATATAAAAGTATGAACACTTCACGAATTTGCATGTCATCCTTGCGCAGGGGCCTTGCTTACCTTCTCTGTATCATTCCAGTTTTAGTATATGTGCTGCCGAAGCAGGCACCATATCCGTTATTTTTTTTTTTTTTACCATATCCGTTCTTGATAAAACCCTCAACAAAGTTAGTTTAGAGAGAACATACATTAACATAACAAAGGCCTTATATGAAAAATCCACAGCTAATGTTATACTCAGTGGTGAAAAACTGAGAGATTTTTCCCCTAAGATCAAAAACAGGACAAGGATGTCCACTGTCATTACTTTTATTCAACTGGACGTCCTAGCCACAGCAGTCAGACGAGAGAAGGAAATAAAAGGCTTCCAGTTTGGTAGGGAAGAAGCAAAACTTTCACTATTCACAGATGAAATGATATTATATATAGAAAACCCTAAGGACTCTGCCAAAAAATTACTAGAACTGATGAATGAATTCAGTAAGGTCACAGGATACAAAATCCTGTTGCATTTCTAAAATCCATTATATCTCTAAAAAGACGAGAGAGAAAGTAAGAAAACAATCCTATTTATAATTACAAAAATAATAAAATATCTAGGAATAAACTTAACCAAAGTGGTAAAAGACCTGTACTCTGAAAACCATAAAAAGTTGATGAAAGAAATTAAAGATGACCCAAAGAAATGAGAAGACATTCCATGCTTATGGATTGAAAGAACAAATATTGTCAAACTGTCTATACTACTTAAAGCATTCTATAGACTTAATTCAATTTCTATCAAAATACCAATAGCATTTTTCACAGAACTAGAATAAACAATCGTAAAATTTGTATAGAACCACCTGAGTAGCCAAAGCATTCTTGAAAAATCAAAACAAAACTGGCAGTATCACAATTCCAGATTTCAAGTTATATTACAAAGCTGTAGTGATCAAAACAGTATGATATTGGCACAAAAATAGACACAGATCAATAGAACAGAATAGAAATCCCAGAAGTAAACCCACAATTGCATAGTCAATTAATCTTTGACAAAGGAGAGAAGAATTTGCAATGGGAAAAAGTCTCTTCAACAAACAGTGTTGGGAAAACTGGACAGTTACATGCAGAAGAATGAAACTGGACCACATTCTTACATCATACACCAAAAAAACAAAACAAAACCCTCAAAATGGACTAAAGACCTAAATGTGAGGCCTGAAACCATAAAAATTCCAGAAGGGAGTACAGACAGTAATTTCTCTGACATTGGCCATAACAACATCTTTCTAGATATATCTCCTGAGGCAAGGGAAACAGAAGCAAACATAAACTATTGGATATACATTAAAATAAAAAGTGCACAGCAATGGAAACAACCAACAAAACTAAAAAACAATCTCCTGAATGGGGAAGATATTTGCAAATGACATATCAGTAGTACCCAAAAAACATAAAGAACTGATACAACTCAACACTCAAAAACTTAAATAATCCAGTTTAAAAATGGACAGAATGCATAAAGAGACACGTCTCCAAAGAAGTACACAGGACCAACGGATACATTTGAAAAGATGCTCAGCATCACGAGGGAAACACAAATCAAAACCACATTGAAATATCACTTCTGATATTCTATCAGAATGGCTAACATCAAAAACACAAAAAATAACAAGTGTTGGTGAGGATGTAGAAAAATAGGTACCCTCATACACTGTTGGTTGGAATGCAAATTGGTGCAGATACTGTGGAAGATAATATGGAGGTTCCTCAAAAAATTAAAAAATAGAATCACCCTATGATCCAGTAATCACACTGCTGAGTACCCAAGGAATACAGAAACTTTAATTCAAAGGGATACATGTGCCCCATTGTTTATTTTAGCATTATTTTCAATAGCCAAATTATGAAAGCAACCAAAGTGTCCATCAATAAATGAATAAAGAAGAAGTGGTATATTATACCATACAATGGAATATTATTCAGCCATAAAAAATGAAATCTTGCCATTTGCAGCAACATGGATGGATCTAGACTATAGTGCTAGGTGAAATAAGTCAGTCAGAGAAAGGCAGATACCATATGATTTCACTCATATGTGGAATTTAGAAAACAAAATAAATGAACAAGAGAACTAAAAAAGAGACAACCCAGAAAACAGAATCTTATCTATAGAGAACAAACAGATGGTTATCAGAGGTGAGGTGGGTGGGGGATTAAGGGGATAGATGAAGGGGATTATGAGTCCACTTATCTTGTAGAGCACTGAGTAATATATGGAATTGTTGAAGCACTATACTGTATCCCTGAAACAAATATAACTCTGTATGTTAATTATACTGGAATTAAAATGGGGGAGGGGAAAGAAGCAAAAAATAAATGATAATATGAAATTTAATTTTGGTGGTTATTGTTTAAAAAAATTTTCTTCTGGATTGTAAATATGTATACTGGGCCCTCACTCTATACTCCTTCTGGGTTGAGGATCCTTGTTCTATGTACATTTCTGAGATGCTGTGTTCTGGGTCAGGTTGATAGCACAGAGTAATCAGGAAGGAACAAAGATGGGGTCTAGTAGCTCCTACATTTTGTGCAAAGAAATACTGGGTGGTTATCCCAGAATCTTGAATCACTTGAATAAACAGGATCAGCATTATTCCCCATCCCTTTCTCTGATTGAACACAAATCTTATCATGAGTGTTCCAAGTCAGTTTGGTAACCAGTGCTTTTAGAGCTCATATTTTGTTAGAACTATATTAAAAAAAAGGGTAGAATATTAATGTCATAAAGGTGATCTCTATCATATATGTTATTTAAGGATATTTATATATACATATACGTACATACACCAAACATCTGAGGAGAGATTATTTATTCAAAATGTGCACAAATTCCTAAGAATGATGTTGCCTCTGTGTTTACAGGTCTCCAAACTGAGCTGGATTGAGAAAAAAATGGCTGCTACTCTGTTTGGAAAAATACCATCCTCAACAGTGGAAGAAGCTTTGCAAAATTTCCTTAAGGTATACTTTGTCTATCCATTATTTCAGTATCAAACAGGCTGCTGCCTGTACCAGTCCCTCCTACTCCTCTCCATGAATAGCTCTCTAATGGGAGCTGTGGTTGAACCCTAGTCTTAGCATATCCAAACTGCTTCCCAAAGCAGCTAGCTATGCCCTGGGTCCTAGCCGCATGGCCCTTACTACCAAATCCAAGAGCAGCTCTCCAGGTCATGTGAGTATACGCAAAAGCATTTGTGATTATTAGACTTGTTCCCAAATACTCCTAATTAGCCTACTAGAGAGCCAGTTTAATCTTGAAGAACTAGGGACACCTGGGTGGCTCAGCAGTTGAGCGTCTGCCTTCCGCTCACCACGGTGTGATCCCGGAGTTCCGGGATCCAGTCCCACATTGGGCTCCCTGCAGGGAGCCTGCTCTCCCTCTGCCTATGTCTCTGCCTTCTCATGAGTAAATAAGTAAAATCTTTTTTAATAAATCTTGAAGAACTAAAAGGTGCCAGAAGGAAGAGTTATTATTTTAAAAGCCATCCCATAAGTTGCAGATAGTCTTATGGAATATTCTTGGAGAATCAGACCAAACCAGTATTTTCATTCCTATCTTAAAATGTATAATTGCTATGCTAATAAAACTCTGAAGAGTAATATGTGTGTGTCAGCTTCCTCATGGGCTCATCCCTGTGTCTTTCTCTGGAAGCAATTATAGAATCTTATAGACCCTAAGATGTTTTTTTCTTTCCTGACCTACCTATTTCAGATTTGTAACAACAGACAGACAAAATCAGGCTCTAGACTGTGTTATCCAACATGCTGTACATGCTCATATTTTTCTGTTGCATGTTAGGGATTGATCTTATAGAACTGAAAGGGAATTTAGAGAATATGTATTCTCAGATCACAAATAGGTTTCATTTATACTTTCCATTACTGAGTGAATGGTTCGTTCGTGCCTACCTCCAGTGCTCTGTGGAAAAAATAAGTGTTCTGAGATCAAGTATGAGCCCAATGGAAAAGAATGCAGGGTATAAAAGCACAAGGGGCAGACATGTCTTAGTTTTTATTTAACATGATCTTTTTTGTTTTATGAAAGGAAATCAGTACCTCAGGAACTTAATTTTTTTAGTGTTACACAGTGGCAGGCCAAAGATATGAATGTAGTCTAAGATTATATCATTCCAATTTCTTCACCTTTTTTCCTACCCCTGAGAATTTGTTCTTTTATTTTACATTTTATAAGAATTTAAGATCATGGTATATTTAAGATAAATAGTTCAATAGAAGACACTAAGCTAATTAGGAAAAATATCATTTGGACTTGAAACTCATTTATTCATATTATAAAGTTATAAGCAGGGGCTCAGGTTTTTAGGACATTGCGCAGAAATTCTTAAGTTGCTAGTATACCTGAAATACTACCCAGATAAATAAAAAATGATCAGAGGCCCAATAATGTAGAGGTAAGGATTACAACCTCTAGAACCAGACCACCTGGTTAAATCTCAGTTCTGCCCCTTTCCAGTTCATTGGACAAGTTTCTTACCCCCTCTCTCAATTTAATCAATAATATGGAGATAACAGTACCTGAGTCATATAGTGTGTTGTGAAGATTAAATAAGTAAACGCAAGGAAATTGCTTAGAGAGTACTCCACACCTAGTAAGAATTTTAACTCCATGAAATTGTCAACACCGTGGCAAACCATCTTGGGGACCTGACAATTCAGTCATGACTTAGATTCCATCTGAAAATGTGCTTCTTGGTGTTTGCTAAGGAGCGAGAAGGCATCAGGAAAGCTTCTTCCTGCATCAGCTGCCACAGCTGAGGGTGCTGAGGAGTCCAGAGTGCTAAGGGTAAAGGCTGAAAGGATGTAAGAAAACTGGGAGGTGGAAGGTGAGAAAGAAACTTGGATTCCACACCCAAGGGGAGTCTGCAACCTGTGGTCCCAGCAGGAGGTCATGTTTTTGGAACCCAGACTGTAGGACTCCTGTCCCCAACTCTGTCCCTCCAAAGAGGGTTCACAGGGGCCAGGAATGTGTCCCCAGACCATCCAGCTCCGTTTTGTAGAGATCTGGAGCACTGGCTTTAGAATCAGACAGTCTGAGACCTGAACCTTTTCCTATCTGTATGACCTGGCCATGTTTCTTTATTTCTCCTAGTCTTAAATTCTTCATCGATAAAGCAGACATAATAATACCTACTTTATATGGTTTTTGTGAAGATAAATAAATTAATATGTAAAATTTTCTTAGCTCAGGGTCTAGCACATTAAGTAACTAAAAATAAATGTTAGCTGCTATTATTATATAGCTCCTCCAACTGATGAAATCTGATCCTCCACAGCATCACAGCCACTAGGGAGGTGGTTTTTGGCCAGGAGTCATCTATGAATCCTCTGTGGGAATTTTCTCAAACTATAGCATGCTTTCCACCTCATCCAAAATTCTGGCATGATTCCCTCAGGCAGTGGTTCTCAAATTTGGCTATACACAAGAATCATCTGGAGAGCTTTAAAAAAGGCCAGTTCAGGCCACAACCCAGACTAATTATTTCAGAATCTTTGAATATATTAAGGTATAGTTTATATACAATAAAATGCACCCATTTGAAGTCTACAGATCATTGTAGTTTGACAAATTTATATACTTGTGTAACCATCACCATTTTAAGATATAAAACATTTCCATCACCCTTAAGAGTTATCTTTGCCCCTTTATTGTCAATTTCCCTCACTCCCCGCCCCAGGCAACCACTGATCTGCTTTCTGTCACTATAGATTAGTTTAGCCTATTCTGAAATTTTATATAAATGGAATCATAGAGCTTGTACTTTGTGTATATCAGCTTCCTTTGTTCAACATGTTTTGAGATTCATTCATTTTATCAATGTATCAGTAGTTCCTTTTTACTGCCTAGTAATACTGCATTTTGTGTACATACCATGGTCTGCTTATGCATTTATGTATTGGTAGGTAGGGTAAACATGTCAGTTGTGTCCAGTTTGGGGTTACCATGAATATAGCTCCTATGAACATTCATATACAAGCTTTTATGTAGATATGTTTTGAATTTTCTTTGGTAAGTGCCTGGGAATGGACTTGTTCAGTCATAAGGGAAGTATTTTTAAAACTTGATCTGTGTTTTTAAAGCTCTTCTTGTACAGTCTATGGCATGATTGACAGCCCAGGACCAGTACCTGAGTGTGTGTAGTAGGTAACAGGTGTGGCAATGTTGGAGGATTGGTGGCCCTGGTCTCCCCCACTCTTTGCAACATATGATCCCTGGATCTCCCTTAGTGGTTTTACCACCTGCAGAACCTTCATCTGTGTCCTGATACAATGGAGGGCTTCTGCTTGAGGTTATGAGATTTCTTAAAATAATCCTAGTTTATTCAGTAATCTTTTTAAGCACATACTTAGTACCAGGGTGTCAAATGTAGGGGATACAGAAATGATCAACACAGCTCCTCCCTCCAGGAACTTGTACAGCCAAGACCAAGTAAACAACCACAATATTCTCTGCCCAGTGTTATTATAGAGTGTTCGAAGAGCCTAGCTAGAAACTGCTCCTTAACTAGAACATTCTACTGAGCAACACTACCTTCCTTGTTATTCGGGTAAGCCATTTGGTAAAAACTCAGACTCTGCTCCATTTTAGGAAGTTGGTATTGTTAGTAGCTTGTATATATTCCTTTGACTTTTTAAAAAAATCATGAGCACATAAAGAGATGTTCTAATTTATAGTCCTTACAGATAATTAAACATAAGTGCTAAGGTATGTATGCAGAATTAAAATGCCAACATTAAAAAAAATAAGCTGCTTATGCTCATATGTTGGAGCACATTTTCCAGACAGGATTTGGACAGAGCTGGGCAACTATTAGACATAGAAGGTACAACTGAACAAAGTTTAATTGAGGTATTTCTTATTAGAGTGACTCAAGAAATGCACTTATTAGACTCAAAGAGTTGAGATGAAAGTAATGGGACAGGAGTGGAGCAGGAGAACCAGAATCCATCAGCACCATGGATGACTCTCCAGGCTTTTCAAAGCTCTGGCTAGGACTGGACTTGACAATGTCTTTGATCTGTTGGCAGCCTTGTGATCTCACTAGCAAGTTCTTGGCCAGATCCATACACTGTTCATCTACTTGATCCTAAAGAGTTATACCCAATGTGGTTCCCTAGTCCAAGAGACTTTGTCCTCCACCTCCTCTAGAATCCTTGCCTTTTGAATTTTATAGACAATAAATGTTCTTTACTAAAGATGTGCATTCCTTAGCACAGGAATGCCTAGGTCTTAGCTTCCCCTCCATCTTTAAGATGTATGTATCCTTTGATTCAGTGATTCAACTTCCAGAAATATGTCCTACAGACATGATCACACATGTGCACAAGCATATAGGAACAAGTATGTTCATTGATCCTTATTAGTAACAGTAAAAAAAATTCTAATAGAGAATGCTCAATTTAATTATGGCATATGTGTATGAAATGCAGCTCTTAGGAACAATGAGGTAGATTTGTGTATGCTAACAAAAAAAAATGTGTCTGTGATATGTTGTGGGAAAAAAGTTTTGGACCAATATGTAGAAATGTTTCCTTATTAATTTCTTTCAAAAGTGAATTTTTAAAAAATTTGTGTTTACTTGATAAAAGGTCTGATAGGATGCATGTCAAACTGTTGATACTGGTTACCCCTGGGGAATGAGATTGAAATTGAAGATGAAATTAGTACAAAGAAACTTCCACTTTTTAATTTTAAAAATGTCCATATTATTTGTATCTTGTAAAACAACCCCATCTTTGTAAGTTTTTTAAAGAAACCTTCTTCTCTTGGGTTCTGCATCTCTCTGGATTGAGTTCCAGGGTCAGATTGGGAGCTTATTTGCATAGGCCCTTACAACAGCAGAAGCTGACTCTGACCGAGGATTGACTTGGGTTAAGAAGTGCTTTCTGGTAGCAGTGCCAGATGCCTGAAAAAAAGTTCTTATTCACCAGAGATATAGAAAGGGAACTGGTGCATAAGAGTTTAGTAGATGAGGAGTAAAGTGCCTGCATAATACCCACTTATTAAAATCTGCAAGTAGGTCTGCTACTTTGGTTGTTTCACAAGTCTGTCTCTTCTTTCAAAATACTTGATGTGATGGACTTCAGATATGATTCAACTCATGAGATGTGTCGAAATCCTAAGAAATCAAGTACTAATGCAGTGGAGTGGAGGATGCTAGCCATGGGATACCAGTTATCCTCTACTCATTTCCTAAATAGATTGTGAATTGTATAGGACTTGTCCTGGGAGAGTGTATCACCAATTGTTTTTGTTTTTGAGAAGAATAGAAAAGAAAGGATAGGTTATACAAAGGAATCTCAAAATCTTAATGTATTGTGTCTCATTGTTTCATGAGCCCTATGAGCTGTATAACCTCAAAAGCTGTATTTCTATCTAAAAGATATTGAACTGATAAAATGATGCTAATGTAACATAATCAACCTAAATTTTTAGGACAATTTGGTTAATATTTGATTTATTAAGATATATCATCTTTGCTGGTTGTTTCAATATTGGCTCGTTATTCTCTTTTCTATTTTCTCTTAAAATCAGGTTGAAGAACTACACCCTGGTTTTTCTAAGTCCAATTACTTGTACTTGGCCAAGGTAAGAAAGACTACTGTTTTGGGTGCTTGGGGTTTTTTTTGTTTTGTTTTGTTTTTTTAAGATTTTATTTATTTAGAGAGTACGAGTAGGATGTAGGGCAGAGGGAGAGGGAGAGAGAGAATTTCAAGCAGACCCTGTACTGAGAAAGAAGCCCTATATGGGGCTCAATCCCACAATGCCAAAATCATGACCCAAGCCAAAACCAAGAGTCCAAGGGCTTACCTACTGAGCCACCCAGGCGCCCCAGGAAGCCTGCTATTTTGAGATCACTTTGAGTCCATTACATAAAGATGTGATTGTGTTTCATATTGACTATTTTTCATTTCTAGTGTTACATTGATCTTGAACAAGCAGATAACGCTGTGAAGTTTTGTAATTTGGCAGTGTTGCTTCCTTGTGTTACCAAAGAGGTAAGTCCCAACAGTGACAATGAGGGCTGTTATATTATTAGTACTTTTCTGGCTTCAAACATGAACAACTGGCTTAGATAAATCTGGATTTTTCTTCCACACTAAAACGTTTTGTATTTAACACATCCTATGAGGTTCTTAAAGTTGCTGTAGGTAACCCTTTACCAGAAGACTCCCTGTATCTTTAAGGGACACACACATCATGGGCTAGCAGTTAAAACATCCTGATGTCTGTTTAATGTTAGCCAGCAGGGAATAGGCAAAGCCCCACTGAGAACGAAGGAGGAAAGCCTAATTCTGGGAAGCCAATGATTAAACTGTGATAGGCAACGGACAAGTAGGCTGCCCACCTTGGAGCAAGAGGACTGTCCACATGGCTGCCATCTTCAATCTCCAACTTCAACCCCACAGCAGAGTGTGGCTATCTTCTACCATGAAGAGGATTTAAAATAATATATTAACATTATGTTGGTCTTTGAAAACCTACCACTAATGAAGAAGAAACTATCATATTGCTTCTTGTCCTTTTGTTCACTAATTCAGGATTCTGGATGTGCTCTGTTTTAGGAATTTCAGAGTAAACACCCCACTCAGTGTTCCTATGAGCCATATATTGGTGGTGTGGGAACAAAAGAAAAATAGATGAATGTTTTCCTGCTCCCTTCTCATACTACCAAACGTTATCATCCTCTGAATCACATCTAAAAGAAATGCCTCTAGGGGCACCTGGGTGGCTCAGTTGGTTAAGTGTCTGACCCTTAATTTCAAAAGTATGTCTTGATCTCAGGGTTATGAGTTCAAGCCCCATGTTGGGCTCTGCACTGGGTGTGGAGCCTATGTTTAAAAAAAAAAAAAAAAGGAAAAAATGCCTCAGAAATAAGCATCCTTCTTCCCCTCTGTTGGAGCAACAGTGGCTCCACTATTTGTTGTGATCTTGAATATAAACATATAAGACATACCCACAGCCCTCTAGGAACTTACAGCCTAGAATATAATTTATATATCCAAATAACTGTAGCTCAGGGTGGAAAGCCTAAAGTGCTAAGAGAGGTACAAGCAATTGGTTATGTAAATAGTGAATATGGAAATTATTTTCACCTAGAAAAGATCAAGTAGCATCAGAGGTGGGCTTTGAAGATATATGTGGAGTTGTGTGTGAAGTACATCTCAGGTCATGAACAAAGGCATAGAGGTGGAAAAGCAAAGATTTGTTCGCCTGGAGGGGAGGGGGTTTTCAGGATGGTCATGGGAAATAAGGATGACGGTGGTGGTGGGGGGACAAGACCTGCCGGGAGCCTCAGGGTTCAGGAGTGCCCACGTCTGTACACAGGACTTATTAGGCGCCATGGACCTTTCCAGCAACCACCTGCACAATGTCTTAGATGACTTCTATGTTTGGGATTTCCTACAAGGTCGATCATCCTTCCAACTCAGATCCCTGAGTTGGTTTTGTTGGTCAGTACTGAGCACAACAGCGCAGGATCAGTAGCAGCACTTCTCCAGAAGACGCTTTATAGATTTGGGGGGCAGAAAATAGATTTTGTTCCTGTGGTTGCTTGCTCCATATGAGTGATGGGGACCCTACCATCTTTTCCACCTCTCCTAGATTATGTCAGTTTAGGTTACATAAAGTCATTTTAAACTGAGTGCCTATGCGTTCTTATTAGAATTTGAGATTAGGGGATGAGCAGTGGGTGTTATACTATATGTTGGAAAATTGAATTTAAATTTTAAAAATGTAAAAAAAAGAATTTGAGATTAGAACACAGTATGATAATGAGGCATAATACCTGGTTTGACATGCAAATATTTGTGCATGAAATTTAGAGTGCTCCCACAAGGGCTAAATATCAATGACCCCCAAGGATTGGTCCTTGGTCCCTAAGTCTCTTCTCTCCTCTCACTCTTCCTCCTCCCTACCTCACAAGCCTGTTTTCTATGACTTCAAATGCTATCTACCTGCCAGGAGTCTTCAGATTTGTATCTCTAGACCTCTCTTCTGAGCTCTGGACCTATTTATCCGACTTCCTATGTAACATCTCTACTTGGAGGTTTTGCAGATATCTCAAACTTAACTCATCATCAGGCCTTTAGATCTGCTTTTCTCCATCTTCCCATCTACTAATTGGCACGTTCATTCATCAGTTGGGAATGCTGGGAATCATCCTAGATACTTCCTTTTCCCTCAGCCCTCAACCCAGACATCCACCCAGTCCCCAAGTTCTCAGAATTCCTCTTCTAAAACATGCCATGAGTCATCCAACTGCCTTCTTGCTCTACTCCACCACTCCAAGCAGGATACACCCAAGTTCACCCAAACTACATTGCCTCCCACTGGTCTCACAGCTTTCTTCCTCCCTCCTGGTCATTCTTGGCTCTCAATAGCAGCCAAAGCAACAGATGAAACAAACCTCAGTATGTTGCTTTGCTGCTTCAGAGTCCGAAACGTTTAGCATGTCCATCATGGCTCTGATGTATGTTCCCCGCTCTCCCCACCTCTGCACCCTGCTCTTCCCTGCCTTACACCTGCTGTTGCCTCCTCCTGTAATACCCTCCGCCCCCGTCCTGAGCCCTCCACTCCCTTTACTACCTTTATTGCTACTCACCCTTCAAGCCTCACCACAAATGTCATTTCTTTAGGAAAGACTTCCTTGACACTCCCAGGCAAGAAAGTACCTTGTACTTTTCTTTCATATCTTTTAGCAGGGTTGTGGTTGCATAGTTATTTGTCTGATTGTTCCATGAGAGTCACAGCTAGATGTGTTTCATTCACTCCTCTGTTCCCAGCACCAGTTGCCATGCCTGGCAGATCATAAGCATTCATTCATGGTAGGAAGAATCAGAAGACTAATACCCTGCAAATAAAAATAATAGTGCCAGTACTGCTAATAAATAAGACTGATTATGAATGTAGCTAAGAGAGCTGGGCACTGTGGAAATATTTATGTAATAAAACAGCAGTAGTGAATATTTTCCATGTTACTTTTTTTTTCCAGTGATGTTTCCATTTGTATATTCTAGGAGATTTTGTTTTGTTTTGTTTTGTTTTAAGTAGTAAATGTCCTATCAGGAATATCTCAATTTCTTTTTCAATTAGAAACTAGGCTGAGGAGAGTTATCTGTAGTACCCCTTCTCTCTGTAAGCTTTTCCTGACTGAAATATATCCGGCTAGTGATTCTGCTGACCAGTCTATTCATACCCAAAATGTCTAGCAGAGCCACAAATTATGGTTGAACACCCCTTCTTGCCCTGGCCATCAGTGCTCTCTCTCCCTCCGGTGACCTCGCAGGACCTATAGGCTGCTTTCTCATGGCACTTGTAACCTCTTCCTGGCATTGGAGTCACTGGTAACATGTCCTCCGTCCCTTCCAGGGAACTCTCATCACACTGCCCTTGATACTGGGAACATCAGCCCTTGGGCTCTAGGGCCCAGACTCATGCATGTGAGCAGCTCTAGATTCCCAGAACTTGAAATTGCGGTATTTTATTATTCATGTGGACTTTTCTTGACCCTAGGAAGGTAATCTCAGGTCCTGAGAAACATCCCGTTTTTAAAATAAAAGGGATCCTGTGTCTAAGGCAGTGTAAGAATGCTTGATGAGTGAAGTCATGACCACACCAGCAGCCTGGGAGTTGTTTTGCCTGGAGGAATGGTCCAAGTCATACTGACCTGGAGTATGCTGCAAAAGCTCCGCTCAAAAAGTACTATGTCATATCATGTTTTATGACAAGGGAGGTGCTAATCTGGTAAAGAAACAAACTGTTCTTAAATTTCTGTAATATTTGAAAGTGACATTAATTGCTCTTTTAAGGCAAACTCTTATAGGGCAGTAAATAAAATATGTGAGAAACAAGTCCAAGAAGAAGAGGACTCTGAGAGTGCTCACAGTTAGGAATACTTCATCCTGCCTAGCAAGTTCTTGGAAGTTAATGTGTTGTTTAAAATCCTGGGCTGTATCTCCATGCTGTTACATAGATTAAGAATCATCCCTCTGAGTAGTAACCACTCTTAGTAATACAATTCCTAATCCTGCTTTTAATTTTCTGTCTTAATTAAGACCTCGTATTTGATTTTTAAATTAAGAGACTGGTTTTTCAGTTAAGTTTATAAAATATAATTCATCCACAGATGTTCATCCTGCCTTCCTGTTAAGGGAATACCACAGCTTAGTGTGATGAGCAGGTCACTTACTGAAATCCAGCACTGTTGTCCAAGGTCTCCCATTTGTTAGAAATTCTGATTTGCCTATCTATTTCTGTTTTGAACTTATTTCTTATAGATTAACTCATTTGTGCTATCCATGCCTTGAGAATTCATTCCTCCTGGTACATTTTAAAAGAAATTAATTAGGCCACTAGAGGATGGACAGAGATTTCCCACTCTCTGAACAGACATTTTCATGAGTTGCAGGCGGAGAGTGCTACTGTGTCTATACTCCTCTATTTCTACTCTTTGGACTCTTATCTTTTACTGATTGACATTCTAGAATATTCATTGAGCTTTCTCCATATATAATGGCCGTGGTTGTATATTTTAAGTTGATCTTAAAGACACCTGAAAGAAGTTTCTTAGACCTCCTTTTAATAATTTTCTTAAAATAACTGATGACACAGCATCGGTTTGGAATCAGCCATTCTTAACATGTACCCTGTCTAATCAAATTGATGTTTGATAATCATTCTCCAAATGCCAGGAGTATAACAATGTAATATAAGTAAGTCTTTCTCTCTCCTACTTATCTGAAGTTTTTGGCAGAGAGTATTGACATATTTTCCCATATGTGCTTCTTTCCTGTGGTGTTTATAAATCTCTTTCTGGCACGATAGTTATTTGTGACATGTCTTCTGTCCCTTTCAGGGAGCTCTTAGCTCATCAAACTGCACTTGATATTGAAAATGTCAGCCCGTGGCCTCTAGGGCCTAGATTCATGCATGTGTACAACTTTGTATTCCCAGAATCTGAAACTGCAGTGTTTTATGGAGAGAACGTGTGCTGTCTCAACAGAATGGTTTGGGTAGTTTGAATCTGGGGAAGAAAGGATAACCTGAACTCAAAACCATAACCCAAATCCTTAGAAGATGACATTTGCACAAAAATGGCCAATATACCGAGTGCTTGAAACATAATGAAGACCTCAGAATTAATCACATAGCTGTGCAGTTGACATGTTATGAAGGAAAAAACTTACATGCAGGAGAGTATCGCATCATATGGGTGTAACCAATGTGGCAAAAACTTTAATTGGAGATTATCACTCAAGGATCAGCATAGAATTCATATGCAGAAAAATGAATAGATGAATGGATATAGGCAGTTCTCTAGCAGGCTCTACTTTCCCTCAGATTTCACACTGGAGAGGAGGTCTTTGAATATAATGAGGTTGGGGAAAGAGCCATAGCTCCACTATGACTGACTTAGCCTGTGTTACTGGAGGAAGCCCTACAAATGTAATGAATGTGGCAAACCCTTCAGCTGAAGAACTAACTTTTGTTTACATGAGAGAACTCACACAGGAGAAGAACCCTTGGCCTGTCATCAGTGTGGAAATGCCTCCAGGAGCAACTCATCTGTTAAACAGCATGAGTGAATTCACACTGCAGAAAAACTATCCTAATGTCATCTATGTGGTAAAGCCCTTAGCTGATGCTCTAACCTTAGCCATCATGAAAAACCCTATAAATGTAATGAGTGTAGAAGAGCCTTCAGCCTCAGCTTTAACCTTTATAGATACAAGAGTTTCCACAGG